GGGTAGGTTTGGAAACATTTTAGTTATTATATAATTTGCTGTATCACTTTTTCAGTCAGTAAATGATAGCCATGTGAAAATGATGATGATGGTGATAAATATTATGATGGTGGTGGTGATGATGATGATAATTAAATTATTCTAGAGCATCCTAAAGGGGGATGGGGTGGACTTTGATTGGAAAGCATTTTTTATGTATAAGTCATAGTATGATAATAAGTCATGATAATATATTGTATTAATTCAGCAAAAAGTCATAGGATCATAGCTTCTCAGCCCCTCCCTCTCGATGCTTACTGTGATGACGATTGTAGTAGTGATTAAGTGATTGTGATGATAGTCATGACCAGGGGCGGATCCAAGTGGGGGTGCAGGGGGTGCACACTCCCTCCTGGTTCAACTTTATGCCCCTACATTGAAGTATCCAATACTGGTTTTTTCCCTTTTGATTCTAAGGGGTTCACCCCCCTGAGTTAACTTTGTGCGCAGCACCCCCCTTAACAAGATTCTGGATCCGCCCCTGATGATGCAGTAAAGGGCAGTGTCAAAAGTACCACAATAATAATAAATGTTCAAAAATATAAAACCTTTTATTAAAAAATAATATTTCTATATTTATTTCCATAGATTCTTTGCTTYCTCATCATGTAACAGCAAGTCGTCACAATCTAATTTCTCTTATCCTGCTTGGCCTGTGGATTGTGATGGGTGTCATCTCCCTCACAAGATTATCCTACAACAAATTCTTTCTCATGTCCAGCTCATTTTTGGTCCATTCCATATTTGGCCCAGTCTGGTGTGTACGACGGCTAGCATTTCTCATTGGTTTATGCATGTGGATATGGCTCTCTTGTTGCCAACAAACCTATCCCAGCAGCTATTGCTATTTTGATTCTATTTCTTTTGACGGGATTGAGGAAATGGAGAAAGCAGTTRGCTAAAGCAAAAAGTGCAGAAGATTTGATGAATTTTAACAGGACCATGGACCAGAGAATGGACAGCCTTGAGAGAAAAGTTGGTGTGATTCTTGCAAAAGTGGAGTTCTTGGTGGATAGAATCCCAGACAGAGCAAACTATAAGCACGCATAAGAAATGGATCAAAAATTATTAAATGATTGGAGGTATTGGTTATTGCACTACAGATATTATGGCTTAATGGAATCATTGGTTTATGCAGCTGTCACTGCGAAAATAGTTTGCAAAATACAGTTACCACATAAGGAGATACTACCATTAGACACCTCGAATACAAACCATTGTTAGCAATGCTGTTAATATTACTAGCTATGGGTATCCAAGATCCCAAAGTGTTTGAAAATATAGTATTGGCATTTCTCATTGCTCATAAAAAATCAATGCTAAACAATCCAGCCGCACCATGAAATAACTTGATTGTGTTTCTGTTTTTTGCTGATGTACAAAGACACAACTCCGTCAACCTTTTCAACCAATCCTGTTAGCTACAGGCAAACCTTCCAAACGAAAAATTAATAAACTAAAATACCCTGAAAAATTCACTACTGGCTGAGAACATCTGAAAATCCTGTGAAAAACCTGTGAAAACACAGGTAACATGAAAGTGACCTGTGAAAAAACTTGTGAATTTTACACGGCCGATTTCATGTCGATTCTTGGAAAAATCTTAATTTTTGAAACCTGTGAAAAACCTGTGAACATTTTAAACCTGTGTGGGAAAAACCTGTGAGTTTTATTTTCTGTGGAGAAACCTGTGAAAAACCTGTGAATTTGGGCATGATAAAAACTCATTGAAACAGAAAACTGTGAAAGACCTGTGAATTTGGACATGATAAAAACTCATTGAAACAGAAACCTGTGAAAAACCTGTGAATTTCAGCATGATAAAAACTTGTTGAAACAGAAACCTGTGAAAAACTTTTGAATTTCAGATGATAAAAACTCATTGAAACAAAACACTTGTGAAAAACCTGTGAATTTCAGATGATAAAAAACCCGTTGAAACAGTTACCTGTGAAAAATCTGTGAAAACAGCTGAAATACCATTATATAATTTTAATTTTCCTCAACATATTTTGAAGGCATATGATTATACTTATGACACTAATCAACAGCTACAGTAAATTTAACTTGACATTATAAAAGTTTCTTTATAAAAAATCCTAAAAAGATCTCACATAGGATGCACAATCCTGCTTACAATCCTACTAAAGGATAACAGTAGCATTTTCCACAGAGTGGCTCTTCATCCACTGAATTCCAATTGGAATTTAAAAGTTGATTTTTGCAGAGGGAGGAAAACCAGTAAACCCAGAAAAACAAATAACCAATAAGCAACTTTACTCACAAAACAACACCACAATAAGCCCTGCATAACTTGAACCCAGGTCGCATTGGTGAGACGTGAGCACTCTCACTGCTACGCCACCTGTGCTTCCCTAGTTAGGAATAGGATCCTAGAAATATCTTACAATTCTATATGTTGAAACTATTTTTTATACCGAGTTCCTGCATATTGCTTATGGAAATGCTTATCTACATGCTTGTTTTTTTTAAACAACTTTTAATTTAGTTAATTTATTGAATGTAAACATATAAAACAACAGTGCCCTAATAATGTGGCCTGGATCAGCCCAGATATTTGGATATTGGTATAAAAAATACAGTAAGGAGTATCAGTAATTATTGCTGTAAGGAAATTTTGGGCGATGCTACTAAAAGAGGATAAAGACTTCGTTGTCTCTATCCAGTGTTAATATTTCATGATGCACTGAATTAAACATCAAATGGAATATGTAATTTAAATACAATTTTGACTTTTTAAATCTTACAGGTGTAATAACACTCTGTAGATATGGGGCGGGTTGCTTCAATTCCAACAATACCGCTTATATATCCCAATTATTTCTGGGTTTGCAATTGATCACAACTACAAGCTATAAACATTTATTAGCAATAATGATAAAACATTTTTATAAAATTGAATAAATTAACTGAAGAATGCATGGCATTTATTAGATGGTGCTGTCTGCCAGAAACTTATTCTCCTGTTCATGAAATCCTCCAACTGAAATCTAATGCTCAAACATTTTGTATTTGTTTTGTTTTTTTTAATTTTTAATTGTAATGTGCTTAGCTGATGTCTTGCTGCTTTAGTGTTGAAAAAAGGTTTTTTGAAAGGAAAGCTTTTAAAACTTTTACTAGTAACTTTCATCCGGATAAAGCGTTGAAAATTTTTTAAATTTTAGAAAATTGACATTACACATTGAAAGCTTAACTATAAAATAAAATTAATACCTTATTTTGGCTGACGTTTTGATTTTTTCCCCTTCTTTTGCAAGAAAAAAACAACCACACCTCTCAACGCCATTTTGAATATGCGGGCTCGCTTCCTTAGTCAGCGGATTTTTTCTTGGTCACATGATGAAAACACGATCATTGATTGGCTGTTGGCATCAGAAAGCAAAAAGGCGGGAAATCAAAAGTTTTTTCGCTCATTTTTGCAAGAAACCTTCTTTGGTTGATTTGTAAGGAAGAAAAAACTATTTGTTAGATTATAAAATAGCCTTCAAAGCTTTTAAAGCAAAAGATATTAATTCCTCGAGATGAAAGCAAAGATGTTTACTCAAAATGATGCCTCTGCTGAAGTAAAAACGAAGACATCAAACAAAAAAACCCTGAGTAGTATATATTGCCAAGTATAAAGTAAGCTTAAAAATGAAGGTTCAAGTTGTATTCAAGCAAGCAATATTATTCAATGGAGGTAGGTTTTTAAATTTAAAATCTATTTGAATATCGAGTTCTATAGATCTGTTATGATTTGGCAAGTTAAAAAATGCAGCATTTGAATCTGAACTATAGCATTTTCCTCTTTTCACAGCCTCAAAATGCTAATGAAATCACCACAAGACTTGAAAACTACAGACTGTACTTCCCCCTTTTGCTGGTTAGCTCTGGTTTAGCTCATAAAAGGGTGAGCTCTGATCTATAAGGCTCTTGCCAACTGGTCAGTAAAATTAATTCTTATGCGAAAAAAGAGGATAAGCTTATCAAGTTATAAGTAAATAACCATTTCAAGAATGCGTGTATTATTTTCAGGCTTTAGTTTTTGAAGGATTTCAAAAGAAATTTATGAAAAGAATGACAATAAAAAAATGTAGGTGCCATTTATACATATTTCACAGTGATTTGCTGCTTCTGTTAATGAGCTCTGACTTAATGTTTTTGAAGAAGTATTTTACAGGTAATGTAAGCTTTTCACAGGTTTTTCACAGATTTTAAGTAATATATTTACAGTATAATAGGTTTTTTCCTTATTAAAAAAACCTGTGAATATAATTTTCACAGGGTTTACTTGTACAGGTTTTCTGTCTAGAAAATTTTGAAAAAAACCATGTAGGTGCCATTTATACATATTTCACAGTGATTTGCTGCTTCTGTTAATGAGCTCTGACTTAATGTTTTTGAAGAAGTATTTTACAGGTAATGTAAGCTTTTCACAGGTTTTTCACAGATTTTAAGTAATATATTTACAGTATAATAGGTTTTTTCCTTATTAAAAAAACCTGTGAATATAATTTTCACAGGGTTTACTTGTACAGGTTTTCTGTCTAGAAAATTTTGAAAAAAACCTGCAAAAGTAATATTCATAGTAATTTTTCACAGCATTTTGAACCTGTAAAAGTGTCCCTTTTCACAGGTTTTTGACGAATTCAAACCTGTGGAAAAAAGACCTGTGGAAAAAAGCTGTGAATTCTTTTCACGGGTTTTTCACAGGTTATTCATAGGTTTCGAAACCCGATGTAGAAGTGAAAGGTTGGCGACTGAGGGGTTTAGTGAAAGTCTTTTGGCATTTTTCCTTGCATTTCTTCTTGTAATTTAACTTTCACTACTGGCTGAGAACATGTGAAAATCCTGTGAAAAAACTGTGAAAAATATCTCTGTATTTTAGAAATTTCACAGGTTTTTCACAGAATTTTCACGAAGCTTTAAAACCCCAAGACGCGCAAAACAAGACAAAAATATGACATGAAATAGAGTATTTTACTGTATTTACTTCTCAAATTGAATACACAACCTGTAATTGTACAATAGCTACAATTATGGTGATGATTGCAATGAATATTGTTACGYTTTCATAAATTAAATTACTTATTAACTTTTTATTTTGAATGTAGGACAGGATTAGATAAATTATACCGCGGCATTCAAGTTAAGGTTAAAAGTAATTTAAAAAACAGGATCAAGAATATGTATACGATATGAAAAAAACTGTAAACTATGTCTAGACAAGTTTAAGTCATAACCCACCTACACCTCCCTTTCCTTACCCCTCAGCGTGGCTTTATTTTGATTTATTTTGATTTTTGATTTTGTTATTTTTGTTGTTGTTTTTTTGTGTGTAAATATTATATCCCGACAGGGACGTATATGATATAAATGCTAACCATTTTATTTACTAATTATATTTACCTTTTTCGATTTAGAGCTCATCTTTTTATAATCGAATGGGYTGTCGAGGAATTAAGCTAGCATTAGAGAAATTTAGCATCAGGTTAAGCTCTGCTCTACTCACAGGGAACCCGGCTATATATTTTTTGCTTCTTTCAGAAAAGTAACTTTGCTCTTTGTGGGTTAAATTCAAATCAATAACAGTTGGTAACACACTCTCTAGTAAACACTCAAAACACTCTTCTTTTGACTGCTTACTAAAAAGTGTGTTACATACCACAGGCGACCAATAAGATTTAATCGGCTATCAGTTTACAGCGCCGACCTAATCACAGCTTATGTAATGGAAAACTGATCACAACTCAGGAAACCCACAAAGAGCAAAGTTACTTTTCTGAAAGAAGCAAAAAATATATAGCCGGGTTCCCTGTGCTCTACTACCGCTAGAAACACTGGGCATCAATGAAATTCAATATGGCGGCTCCTCCAGTAACATCTTCGTTATGAAGCCTTGCTAAATGTCGAAGGTGTGATAGAAAACGCCTGACATTGAACTGTACTGAGTTTGAGGTTTGCGGTGCATAGCAGGAACTTTGTGCTAAAGTTCTCTATTGTAACCACTTATTTTTTATTTCAGAGTAAAATAACAGTTTGGAGGAAGAGACCTGCTCTAATAATGATACAATTTCTCAAAAGAATTGACTTAAAAAAGAAGAGAAAAGAATCCACATTCAGCACTACAAACAATCGAGAACGCAAAATTATTTGAGCTAACAAACCTGGAAATCTAGATCTTATATCRGACAGACTTCATTTAGGTTTCTTCATTGGACATATCTGGCTTCTGCTTGGACTTGCTGGAAAAAAATATTTGAGCTGATTGAATTTTGACTAAACAATTATCATTATATCTTATATGATTGTCCTTAAGATTTGTGGTACGTTGTTGCACTCGGGTCCATTGACTCCATCGAAGTCTTAAGGTCAGCTTGGCAACTTTAAATCCTTTTTTTTCCAGTCTGTGAGGGTAGCACTGCGCATGTCCTGACTTATACAGCTATCCGGAGGTTTTGTAGGTTTCGACATAAATATATAGATCAACTATTTGTCGAGATCGAGCAACAAAACCGCAACGGCTGATCACGATACGGCAGTAAAATAACGAATTAAATGTCAAAGCTGGATTGTCCTTGTTTGACTTTGTTTAGTTGAACAGATAAGCAGCAATTTGGTGCAGTTTTGAGATTGGCACTGATTGATCAAGAAATAATGCCGAAAATTCGAACTTTTACGACATCATAAGTTAAGAACTTTACCATGCACATCAGTATTATTTCATGGCAACGACTGAGCCAATGTATAGGATATTTTCCACATCTTGATTATTTTTTTGACTTTTTCGTATGAAGTTCTTCCTCTTAATCTACCTTGTTTGTTCAGCTCTTCGGCAACCCTTTCTGCTTCTTCAACCGTCAGGCCTTCTGGATTGGCCATATAGTTTCCCTCTTTCTGTAACATTTTCAACGTTTTCTCAATAGAAGGTTCCCATCTAAGGTTCTCCTTCAAATCCGCCCACCTTTTCAAAGCTTCTTGTCTTTCTTGGTCATCGAGCAAGTCTTCATCGTTAATATCTTCTTCAATGTCTTTTACTTTGTAAGGGTAATCTTCAGCGAACTGGTCAGGCAGCACGATGTGGTACATGATGGCCTGTAGAATCAAACATACTCGCCCAATATAAGCCTGGCAATAATTTATATCGAGATTTTCTTTTGTCGGCGTTGTTATTTTTTGGTTAACGCGCTTGTTTTTTTGATAGATTTCTGTAATTTCTTTTTTAAAGTTACGATCGGCTTCGTCTATTTCTCTCTCAAACACTACATCTGATTTTTTCATGTTTTTGGCATGGTTTTCATTAAATTCTTTCTTTTCTTTCTCCTGGTTTATTTTGTTTTGTTCAACCGCTTCTTCCAAAGAATCTAGCCTAGTCTCTCTTTCGTCAAAAGTTTTGCTCAGCGCTTCTTTTTTCCCCTTAAGTTCTTCTATTCTGTTCGTCAGATCTAAAAATTCTTCCTTAAGGTTAGTGACTTCTTGTTTGCGATTTTCTAATTCATTGCTAAGGACTTTGTTTTCCCGGTCATCGCTGGGTTTTAGGCCATGAGCATGGTTTCGGGTATCAAAATAATGAATTTCTTTCAATTTCTGGTTTGCCCTTCTGTCAGTCTCAGTCATCAAATCATCAAGCGTCATCGAAACTGTCTTACATTCCATTGCAGGATTATACTTTTGGTGAAGTGATTCTAATTTATCTAAGGAAAAATTAAAAATACAGTATTATTTCATCAATCATTACTATTATTTTACTCACTTTATTAAGATATGATAAATGATAATCCCCACTGCAGGCTGTCTTGAAGAAAAACAAAAATGAAACAGATAAGCAAACGTATGATATTCGTTTTACGAGTCTAGAACTGCGAAAATAGCTCCGTAGCTAACAAACTTGTGGCCCTCGCTCTTACCCCGTGGTCGAATAGGAAGAAGTGTTGATTTTTTTGTGTGTTTATTTATTTATTTATTTTTTGTGAGAATAAAATAGCCTAAAATAAAAGCCAATTTGTGTACAGCTAATACTGAAACAGTTTATTAATATTAATGCTAATAAACTAACTGATAATCTTGTTTTTGGTCTAGTATAATAAGTCTGATAAGTTCGGTTCACATCTTAGTGCAGGGTGCCGAGAGAGAAAGCTGACAAAATGTTCCACTCATCATAAAATAGTTATTACTTTATGCTCTTTATTTCTTTGAGAAACAGTCTACTTCACTACGATTAATTCTTTTTCTATTAGAAAAAAAATTTGTGACTAAATTTTCCTTTACAAGTAAAAGTCCCGGCTAGTCATTTGTCCGAGAAATCTAAGATGGCCGCAAGTACGGGAACAAATTTCAATGTTTCATTCGAATGCTACAACAAAATCTCGGAACGTGTGAGGTGAAGAATACCAGTTTAAAAAAACTAAATATGACCGCTATAATTGACCAGTATTTTTTAAAGAAAGGAAAATCTGAATTTGTGAACTAAATATTGGCAAGAGATAAATCGGTTATAACCGCCATTATACTGCGCTAGCCAAGACRCCGACCAACAACGAAGCAAAACTGTATTGTTAAAATCCCAAAAAWCTCTTAGCTAAGGTCAGCAAACTCTTCCAGTTTCTACATCATTGCCTTACTTTGAATGGAACGTTTATTCAGTCGTTTATTCTTGAAATATAAGAAATTTCAATAAAAGCGAGTTTTCGTGCGTTCAAGCCATCCCTCCTTAACTGAACCTGTTTGAGGCTTAGGAAGCCCCAGTTTCTTGGTCAAGTCTATATTTGATATCAACTTCCCCTGCTGGTAAACGTCGAGTTAACCTTCTGCGACTAAATTCTAAGTCTGAAACGCGAATTAGTTTTTTTCCCCTTGAGGTTAAAGGAAAGCGAAAGTGTGGAGCTATACCGGCATTAGRAACGACATTGTACATTCTTTGCTATTGCAGTACAATTCAAAGGAATAGAACGTAATAAATTGTATTTCAGATTTTTATGTTGATATTTTGAAGTGTCTACAGTTTTCCCCCCAAGAAGGTTAAAAGTACGGAAACACAAACTCGATATGCATGTAAAATCTAAGACTCACATTAAGTCGGAATAAAAAAGTCGCTCTCTCCGAGGGCAGTGAAATCCCTGAAGCTCAGTATAATTWCAGGCTTATTTTTAGAACATCGAGTGATTTCCAAAATTCCCTGTTGCGAAGAATTGCATTGGACCGAAGTCTATGAAGGCTCGTTTCCTCATTTGCACAACTACCAGACCGAAACACAAATAYCAAACCGAAAGGTCGAGCCTCTTTCTTCTTTGTCTCACTCTTAATTTCTATGTTATTTGTTTTTCATTTTTATTTTGTCACTAAAATGAATATTAAGAATAAGCACCATTTTTTGAAAGACCGAGAAAAGTAAACCGCAAACTAAGCGACGAATGATTCTGAACCAAAATGGGCCACTGTTAAGAGAAACGCGAAGAAAAATCTAGATTTCTTTTGTTYCATAAGGAATGGTTAAGAACAACTTAATTTAAGGGCAAAGTCAGGACTGTCAAGGAGTTTGAAAGCTAGACACACAGAACTCATGTGTCGGGCTCAAAAATTACTTATTAACTTTGTCAAGGCTGCCCCTGTTTATCAGTTGGATTTAGCAGCCAATCACAAGACAAGTGCGCGCAGTGCCAATTCCAAGAACTGGCTCCTGTGTTTATCTAATCATCGTTATAGCAGCCAATCATAAGACAAGTGCGTGCCAATTCTAAGAAGCTATCATGTATAGCAGCCAATCACAAGACAACTTACAGACATACGACAGGCAATGTCGCTTTGCTCAGTCCATCCACAGTCTTTGTTAACATTTTCTACGAAGACGACAACACCAACCGAACATAACCGCATGTATATAAAAGAAAGCGGTAACGCACAGACAATGATAGAAAAAAAATATATATATTTATATATAAATCTGGATGTTTGAGTCTATACTGTCGGTAGAGTGCTCGATGCATTACGTTGTTATATATCAAGGGGTTTCAAGGGGTTTATGTGTATATGTATGTATATATATGTGTATATATATATATCTCTCTCTCTAGCAGATAGTCAAAAATTATCTTAAAACATCGATTTGGTAACACTATCTATCCAAGGCAAATCTTACCCTGTCCTTCGAGAAGCCTTCTTAATAAACATTCGTTGCGAGAAAAAATTCATGGGTGACACGTCGCAACGCTTTCATAAAACAACTAGACATCCGCAATGTTGATGTTGCATGTTCTGGGAAATGTTGGGCTCTGCCGGCCGGATTGGATCCTTTAGCTGAATAATGTCGAACAAAGTTTCAAGACGTCTATATACCGCGCAATTTCGTCCTAAAACTTGTCTCGTTGTTCTTGCACACAAGTTTCAGCAAAACGTTTACATTCGACGTGGCCTTTACGGCCGAGTTGCTATTTCCCTCGGATCAGTTTACTTTTATCATCGCATTTTTTCCTACCTAGTGGTGAACTGAAGTATATATTCGATTTTATTGCCATGTCCACACGGATTTTTAGTTTTCTCAGTAAGCTACTGCTCAAATATTTAGGAGAAAAAAACTCAAAATGTTTCTAGTAAATCTATAACCACCTCAGGCACCTGGTTTCACATCTTGAAGTGTCGTTTACAGCAACTGAATTACTGCTGCTCGCCATTCTGTTTTCTCCATGGACATTTTTGTTCGTTCCTTTTTAAAAAATAGTCAAGAAAATGAAAAATGTACTTTTACTTACTTCCATTACATAGAGTGAGTCTCCCGATTTCTTGTCAAATCGGGATTTCTGATACCGGCCGTTTCTCAGAAATCGACATACACAGTACTTCTTTTGTTTGGCTGTCTTCCAAACTGACTCAGCGGATGTTAAAGCCACTATAAGCCAGTATACCACGAATCGTACCAAAGAAAGACCTAGAATGACGATAAGGCCCTGGAAACCAACAGTATTTTGATGTTTAGGATAAAATCAAGAATACGACGAAAAAAGCCGACATCAGTGAAGAAATTAGACCTTTGCTTCAACGAGGAAAGTTGCTTGTTTAGTGCTCTTTGCATCACTGAATGATGAGACAATTACATGACCTTATAAAGTGCTTTTTAACGTACTGTGGGTGTTCATTGGTCAGTTTGGAGCGCGCAGAATCTCTAAGTTACATAGCAACGTATGGTAAACGGACATCTAGACACTGGAACAAAATGATGCCGCGATCAGTTCAATGTTTGACAAAAATAGTTTTACCAATCAAAAGGGCGACGCTTTCATGCCCCTTTCTCATTTTATTTCCTTGTCAGCTATGCTACAAATCATCTCTTGCACATCCTCAGCCGGTGCTACCTTACTGTAGAAAAAATCAATAAGAACTAAATTTGACTTGACTCGGGTTTTTCGTTGTTAGAAAAGAAAAACGCGAAGCAATGGTGGTAAGATAAGAGGATTTCTTTTGATTCTTGTGTAATAAAGTCAAAGGGAACCAATAGCCTATTTTGAAGCCCCAAAAATGATGAAATCGAAAATATGTTTGAAAAAGACCCCTATTTCTAAATAAAGTATGACCATATAAAAGCGAAACCAATGACGCACGCAGTACAAATTTATGCAGTGACCGCGCAGATTCCCTGCAGGTCAACTTCCAAGAATTGTGAATGACATACTATACCTTAAGAGCCAATCAAAACACAGCATTCATACCGATGCGACCAAGCGATGCAAAATACGAAGAACGCGAAGAAGGAAATAAAAGATTTCGCTGACTTGCTAGACGGTCATCTATGTTGGCAGTGGTCCTGCTCCGGCAAGGTTTTTGTTCATAGAATAAGGTAAGAAACATTTTTTCTACTGCATGGCAATTCCTACCGCAAACGAATAGAAATGAAATTATGGTTCGAGGTTTCGTTTCAGTTTGTTTAACTTTTCTATCCAAGTGATATTTTAAGATTTTGCTGAGCAATAATAAAAGAGAAATCGTTTGAATTCTAATAAAATTTATCGATCAAATCGTAAGAAAAATGAATCAGTACTTCGACATTTTGAACAACATGGTAACTCCCTACAACCAGAATCCTTTGCTAGTCGATTCGCAACGCGGGTTGCTTAAAATGCGTTTTATTGCAAACATTTCGCTAGATTTCTCCATTTTCTGCCGCTAAATCATCATTCATGGCCTTTAAGGTAAATAGTTTTTCATTTTGAATTCGACAAAATTCTTTTAAATGGTTTCGTTTATTTCAATATCGATACAGACCGAATCACTGGGTGTCTTGTCGAAGCGATCGAAAGTACCGAACAATCGCGACGTCGTCAAATTATAATTTTTTATCTAAGATACTTTGAAAACGAGCTGTGAAATTTGTGAACTAGCTGAACGAATTTAAGATACTTTGTACAGAGATTACTAGTATTATATAGTAACGACGCAGCGAGAGAGATCCCCGAGTCTGAGGAGCGAGAATAACAAGGTTAGACCTAGGTCGCGGGTCTCGAAGACGTCTTTCACTAAATTGCTGTTGAAAGACAAAATACGCCTTGCAGTCGATTGCCCCAAAACAGTAACTGTTAAACAGATGCAATACATACGTAACCGTACCTTATTCACACAATTATAATGACTTTTTTTCTTGATTTTAGTCGACTTGAATCTAAGCAGCGAATGCATTTCTAATCAAAATGATGATTTTTGTTTTTGTTTTTCTAAGCTCTAGAACGCCTAAACATGCGAGATCCTGAACGTGAACATTTCATAGAGGTAATAAAGAATAAAGATAGAAAAATCGAACAGTTGAAAGAAAAGATTACAGTATATAAAAACAAAATAAAAGAGTTGAATGATCGAAAAGATAGAGAAGAAGAAATTAAAGAAGAAATAGAAGATATCAAGGGAAAGAAAGATCAGTTCGAAAAGGAAATAATCCAGCTTAAGAATGAAATAGAAGAATTAAAGGAAGAGCTTAAAAAGAAGGATGTGAGAATGGATTCGTTGGAAAGTACGATCAAAGAAAACGAGAAACGTAACCGGAAACAAATGGAAGACATTAAAGAAGGCTACAAAACCGACATGCGTGAATTTGAGGGTAGGAATGCGGCAAGAATTCAAAAGCTAAAGGAAAGCCATAATGAAGAAATGAAAAAAATGGAAGATTACCGTATCGCATACGAAATGAATGAAGACGAGAATCAGAAATTAAGAGAAGAAAATAAAGAATTGGAAGGTGACTCAAAAGACATTAAAAAGCACATTCGCAATTATGAAATGGATCTTAACAAGTTGATAATTGGACAAGTTTGTTTCGAGTTACCAACTAACCTATACCGTTATGTCATGCCTAAACGTTGCTGTGCTAAAGACTGCTATTATAAGATTAAGGATATAGAAAACGATATTGATGATGAAGATTTGCTTAACGACGAAGAAAGAATAGAAGCAGAGGAAAGATTGGAAAAATTAAAGAAAAAAATCGATTGGGCAAAGCTGAAAAAACTAATAGGGGCCTTCAAGCTACTTCAAGATCAAAGAAACCAAGTGGCTCATCCACCCAATGTGGACGAGAAGGGAGCGAAGCATGCTGCACAGGAGTTAGACAAACAGGGTAAATTAAAAGGAAAAACTTCAATTGGAAGGGTTAAACAAATTATTGAGATATGGTCTGTTTCTAAATCATTGTTAGGTGATCAAAATTCCAACAACGTAGCTTAAGTAGAGTAAAAATCATTTTTCTTCCAAATATTTCCATCACCTCGAGCCAAATATTTCCCGTACGGCCTTCCCGATCAGTCAACAAGTACATATTATCATATTATTCATAATTCACTTTCATCCAACTGAAAACTGCCGGTCAAAGAAGCGGAGCTTCAACCTCGGTATGCAGCGCAGGCTACTTAAAAAAGAGTTTTTAATAACATAGAATGAAACGAGTTACTGAGGCTGCGTTTACACGGTGCCGGACGAAGTTTTAGAAATATCTAAAAAAATATCAGTTACCTGTATACATACCCTTTACAAGGAAACAAATCCCTGGGAGGATATGTAGCACGGTTTGTATTTTTAGATACAAGCATCACTTAATGCAATGGTTAGTAAATATGTTTAAATTTTCTTTTGTAAAATTGTTTTTGACCAAAACTGACAATAAAATGAATTTATTAGATTTTATTGCTTTTTGATGTTTTAACAAGACCCTGGGCTCAGGGTGCGCTGGAATACCTGGTAAAGATGGGCCTGGTTATGAGATCTGATTGCTGGAAAGGTTGCGCATCTAGAGAAGTAATGTTAGACATTTACACTTTTGGGGTCTCTGTGTTGTGATTTATTGATGTTTTTAATGAAATAAATAAGTGGACGTTTTGAATTGAGTCGATCAGCAATGCACAGTAAAACTATACAGAATTTATTTGTGAACACTTTCTCAGAAAGAAAAATCAAAGCAAACCTTTCTCATCAAAGTCATCGAACAACTCAATCTGGAACTCCAGTTCCCGTTCCGGTCCGGACTTTGGCATACGTAATGCGGTTTTATGAACGTGCTCATTCGCACGAAAATTGTATAGCTCGCTTTAAAATCAAAATGCTTCATTTAAAACGTAAATATATGTTATTTACCGGCCAGGAGGTCCGGATAGGGAAAAACTGTGCTCGAGGTCTTGAATATACGGACCGAGGGCACAGTTTTTCCCTATCCGGACCGACTATAGGACGGTAAATAACTCATTAATTTTTTTCCCGTATTTTTTTTACTTGTTTTGGTAATCGTTTTGTGTTGTTGTTTAGCGACAAAGGATACCGGACCGCGCGCGCGGGCAGATACTTACAAAATACTGCCCGCTCAAACAGCCAATCAGAACGCACGATGTTTTAGGATACAGGACCGGAAAAAAATAAAGGCTAATATTTGCTCAAGACCTGTCTCATAATTGATTTACATTTTATAATTTTATAATTTATCGATATTTTTAATGAATCACCATCTTTTTGAAGAAAAAATAAAGGAGATCATTAATGATATTGCTATGTACCTTATGTTCCTTTGGGTAGACTTTGAAGCCAAAACAGTTAATATAAATACATAAATATATAGGCTATAAGACTATATTGTCAAGTTCAAGAGAATATCGACTCATGCTGAATGAATATTTGTATCGTAATTCTGACTCTTGAAACCCTGTTCTCCTCGTCATCAATCTTCGCTCGTTCGTGAAGAAAATACTGTTCGATTAGATGAATCATGAATAGATAAACCAAAACGAGCTTTTGCCCATGACGTTCATTGAAAATTCTTGGAAATAATCGCTTCGAAATCATCTCTGTCTTCTAGGCTTGAAATCTTGTTTACGAAATTGATAAATTAATATTTCTAGTTCGGCTGTCTTGAATTACGGCGGTCAACCAAATAGGGCTTACAATAAACCACGAAACGAAACGACACAATAAAATGCGAAACGAGGATTTCGCATTTTACAGATCTTTAAATTGCGAAACCGTCATTTCGCATCTTACAGATGTCGTAAAATGCGAAACGACAGACTGTAACCTGAGGCTTTGTTACTCACGAAGTTGGATGAAAACTGTGTAGCTCCATGCCTTAGAAAATTAGAGATTACTTTGAATCTCAGTGGGAAGAACAGTGTAAACTTTCCATGTACCAAAAGCCACAAATTTATAAACTATATACGTTTACAAGTTCAAGACTCAGTTACTCGTGTTGTTGTGGCGCCATTTTGAAACCAGAAAGAAATCCAGACACTTTTAATTCTCAATATATTAACTTTACAACTGGTTTATTTACAGCTTTTTAAACAGTTAAGAGCTATGTTTTGTTCCTGCCACACCCACTGGCACACGAATGGCAAAAAAAAAAAAAAAATGCTTTTAAAGTATTGCTAGAGTCTGTAATACCTAAACAACGATCCATGTTCCGAGGTTGCGCTAGCCTGAAAACCAGGCGTCCCTGTGGATTTGGGGAAAAGAACGCCTGCTCTGTAGGCTTAGGTTGCGCGGAAAACTGGTAACGAGTAGGGTGCACGATGAATCATGGGACTGTTTTACGGTGCGCAACCTCAAATAGGCCAATGGACTCTTCTTAAAAAAATACATAAAAAATAGAAAATAAATCAAACTTTTTTTCGATGGAATTTGTGGCATTTCTTTCGTATTTCCATGTAAGCCTTGTATTCAAGATAAGTTTAAGAAGGGTGCACTCCAATCTCTCTCGATCTCTTTGGAATCTGTTGTAGGATCCTTGCCTACATATGTACCTTTGTATTTCATTGTTTCTTAAATCACCCTTTGAACTTATATCGTACAGGTTTTGCGTTATAGGAAAATGTTACACGGTCACGGTAAGGAACAAAGGAACCAATCACAGCGCATGTGATTACTAACCATCGAATCAGTATGGTGTATTATAGCAAGGATACCTCTTGACGGTCACCGGTTACGCACCTAATCCTTGTTTCCCCCGGGAACAATCATAAGAAACCTACTCTAAAGTAACACATGCAAGGTGGATAAATGTAAAGAATATAGACTGACTGTAACTGGGTGCATCCATCTAATAAATAATATCGATCTAGTGGGTTCTTTATACAGGTTTGTCCAATGACCTATTATCTTTACGAGTGGTGTTTTTATCCAGAATATAAATACAGATAATAAGACTGGTACGTCTAGTTGGTCAATCCTGTTGTATCATCAGCCTCCTGCAAGGAAAAAAATGCGTTCAGAAGACTTAGTTCAACAACTAACATGGCCGTCATGTTTTCTGTAATTTCATTCTCTTGGGAATGATTGCAAATAACTTATAGATCTCTTGCACTAGTTCCCAACCTGGGGTTCAAAACGAAAGATTTCTTTCCTCATGATGATAGAAATCTCTTTCGAAGTTAAACTTTTTTTCATTGTTTTGGGAGGAGTCCCAAGGTAGGAATTTAGTTTCAAGGGGTAAGATCAAGGAAGCTTCGAAGCTTCGTTATCGAACAGGAAAATATATCATGCAGTCGAGAGTAGGAAGAACTTGTTACCTGGTTTAATTTCTTAAACTCCACCACCTGATGAAAGATATGGTCTAGTATGTGCTTGGCGTCACGATTATCGATAGGGAGTTTATGGGTAACCCCTAGGATATCCCCACACTCTCGTACGTAATACTCGAGATCATCCTCTGTACCTGATGGGGAAATTAATAAAAAATAATGATTAATAAGAGAAAAAGTTTAAGGTCCCTTATAAACCTTGCTCAAAATTATCGTGGATACGAGGCTAGCATGAAAATACAAAAGGAATCAGACTTTTTCTCGATGGAATTCGTGGCATTTCTTTTGTATTTCCATGCAAGCCTCGCATTCAAGATTGAGAAGGGCCCATTTCACTATTCAACCTTACAGGCAGCAGGGCCAAGGATATTAGACATCAAAGTTGTTGTTTTTCATAGAGTGGAAAACCAGACATACTTAACAGTGGTTCAAACATTAATACTCCGTTAGCCTTTCATTAACCCTTCAATTTCTCGTCCCAACGGAGGCGACACTATAGAAAAACGTTTCAGCACGTTTCCTAAGAATTTTGAAGAGTTTGAGTGAGAAAATAAACGTTTGTTTTCTCCAAGTATACAAAAACGTTTGAGAGTATACTTTTGTCAGACCAAGATACTGTATTAACAAACACAATATGAAAGAATTTGCCTTAAGTTTCAAGCATGGACGCTATGTTTTGGCATTTTGTGAAGTCCAATTTATCAGGCATGTTTGAAAGTCAAATTTACTTATGTTTTGACTAATTTGCATACGGATTCAGAGCATGCGCAGTCGTTTTACACTCGTGTCAACGGAGGCATACGTTCAGTACCTATTCGTACGAGTCCCTTGCAGAGCGAGTATAAATACAGTTCCCCCAGATCAACCTCGCGCTGTTTTGTATGAAGGTTGCAACATGGCTTTGACGTTTTCCAATGGAAGTTCCAGCCCCAATAACGTGGAAGCTGCTCAAGTTTTTAGATAACCCTCCTGTTCGCGTTTCCGCTTAYTTTCTTGCTCGTATTCCTGTTCCTGCTTCGTCTGCTCAAGAACAGCCTGAGAATGTCGAGGTTTGAGGTGAATCTATTTTAAATCTTTGTCTAGGTGTCCTCCCTATTTCACATGTGTRACATTAACCTTTCCCTACATTTTGTAGTTGGCACAGTAGTGTTTTTTCTTTACTTTAAACGTCGTTTCATAGCTATTTTACAATAATTATTTACTTCTGGCTAGTTATTTTATTGTAATTTGCTTTTTGTCACCTAGTTTTATTTTCCCTCCCCACGTGCTTGATTCTACTGGTCTCATTCCTGTCGTGAAGGTGTGTTAGTTTTCTTACTTTATTCACTGTTTTATTCGCTTCTCATTTCCTATCATTTGCTTTATACTTCAAAATGTTTGCTTCATGTTCAGGGGTTTTTTTTTTAATTCACCACCTTTTACTCCGGTCCCCATTCATCCTAATTACTGCACTTGTCTTATGTTTTTCGATTACGGCTAGCAACACTATTATAACACCCGACACGTTGTTTTAATTCAGTTGGTATTAGCGTGTACAGTAATAGAAGGCATACCGTATATCGCTGAAAAAATTTGTAAGAATTGCACAAATTAGTTTGAAGTTCAGTGAACCGTTGACCTAAGAAACTTTGCACTAATTTGTACAATTTCGTTAACTTTTTGATGTATATATGGTATGTACTCAAATTTATAACGTAGATTTTATATCTTAGTGCCACTGGATGTATCAACAGTATGTGAACCCAGTAACGTACGTGTCTGTGTAACCCCAGTGTYGTACGTGTCTGTGTGACCCCAGAGAATGAAGACGCTAGATTTTRTACTAAGAAATTTACCTCGCGTAGTTYCGTATGAGCCTTTAGTGGCAAGTGAAGTATTGACGGTTTCCTATATATTTTCCTTTTGTCCGGTTTCTCGCTCACCCTCTCCGACCAGCAACTGCGTTCAATCTATCCCTCTCTCCCACCACCATTGCCAGTTTCTTTCTGCTCTGTTTTGACCGAACACGGTTGCAATTATCCCATTCTTATTTATCGAGCGTGAAAGGGACTGATGGAAATAGGATACTTTTTATTACATGGTGTTCAAATGACTTATCATTATCATTATAATATTATTATCATGATTGATGACTTACATTTGTTCGTTATCTGCGCCAATCGGACTTTTTCAGAAGAGAATGCTTCATCCAAGTCGAACAAGTCTAGAGCAGGTGCTRGTAGCTCTCTAAAGGTTGGAGGAAACACCTGGAAACGATGATTTGAAAACAGTTATATTGTCTCCGTCTCCTAAACTATCCCAGGATTCAATCCCGGAGAGGGGGGGGGGTGGTACTCCGCCAGAATTTGGGTAGGGGTGTTCCGCTGGGATTCTGACAGGGGTACCCTGTTTATGACAAAAAAACTCAAATTTGTAGAMCCTGTCATGACAAAAGATATAATTTATTGCACTGAGTTCCTGTTTCAATTATCATGTCATCTCGSGTRTCGTTTTTTTTACGATCATAMTAASCAGTTTCGGTCAAAACGAAAGTAGAAACCCTGAATATGACAGGAAACTCAGGAAGAACTTGGAACTYGAGTGAAATTGCATACCCTGTTTATGACAAGAAGCTCGAAAAATCATACCCTGTTCAGCGGATCATCCCCGTAWAGTCCATATATGGGAGTACCACCCCACCCGGGGATTCAATACTTACAGCAGGTTGTAGCGGTGGTAGCGGCGTTTCAAACTGTGGGGTGATGAGCTGTAAAGCCTCGTGTTTCACATGCAGTTCTTCAAAAGATCTAGAAAATTCAAGAAATATCAAGATAACTAGATATCTTGACGTTAAAGTCCAGGTATTGTAATCTTAATGATTATTATATAAAGCAATAGTTATACATGAAAGTACGAAACAGTCCCCTTCACAGTTCCCTGCGCCATCTTGAAAGGTAGCTGAGCCATTGCTTTGAAGCAAGACGAAAGGTGAGCTTGCAATGATAGAGGCTTTTGTTAAACACCTTGGACAATTATTTACATGTCTCTATCATTGCAAGCTCACCGTTCGTCTCACTTCGATTCAAAGGCACAGCTACCTTTCATTATGGTGCAGGGAACTGTGAAGGGGACTATTTCCTTGCTTACTTAATCACATCTGGTACTACACTGGTGTCCAGCTTGTACARCTCGTTATCAAACATCTTTGAGAAATCACGAGGAATCTAGCATACAAAAGAAATACAAATGAAAAAYCATGCACTGAAGTAATGAAGGCAATATCTTAATTGATGATTGTGTGGCTCCAGAAAAATACCCATACTCCACCATGGAGGAAATATTATTGGAAATTCTCAGGGGGTGGGGGGTCAGAAGAAAAACAAAARTGTTTGTATGGAAGAAAATGGAAAATTCCAGAGGAGTGGGAGGACCTTTTTTCAAATTTCCTCCATCCATAGTGGGGTATGAAAATTTTCTGGAAACAGATATTGCATTGAAAAGTGACTAAAAAAACAGCAAAATACAGTACAAATAGCTCCATCTAGTCTCCTACCCAGACATGAGTTTAAAACGATAACTTTAAAATCCTTTTCTACTGCTTCCTCCTCCTCCCTCAAATAACATCTTATCAATTTTAATTTGTTTTGAATTTATTAATCARTTGTAAAGTKTATTTCAAKTRTTGAAAAATTAAATTAATGGAATACATATWAATTTCTCAACAGATTTTACCTCRTCTCCTTCTTGTAAGCAAACTCTGAGTCGTTCAGCAAGATTTGAGGTATCTGGGATATAGTGGTAGTCAGAGATCTGACAAAAAGATCAAAATTAATAATCAATGTTGCATTATTTGCAGTTTATTGAAATCAAGGTTCACAATCATTGCTCTATTTGAGATGTTGATGTATTAAACCCAGATTACCAAATGAGACTTGGAATCGCAAGGGCAAGGGTTCAAATCCCGTTCAAGATTCAGAATTTTTTCCAAGTCTTTCAATTTGCAGCTGCATAAGTTGCTTGACATACTGCGAGGATCAGCTCAATTTAATACATTACAACTGCAGTACAAATAAATATTTCATATATATTCTCATACCCAGATTACCAATATTGCATTGTATTACTTTTGCAATGTTTTGTCATTGCATTCAACTGGCTACTTACTTCAGGGTCTTCAGCATCAATGCTGTTCAGCTGTAGATCGTTAGTAGTTAACCACTGGAACAATACATCCTTAACACAAACAAAATATCATGAAAAATTAGCAAGTAATTGATCTTTTGAAAGAAAACTGTAAATGCAATACAGTGGCATTCCTGTTATATTGAACCCCAGATATCTCAAACATTCCCTTATCTCAAACTTGAGGCCACATCCTATGGACTAGCTTCACTACATATTTTACCCTGAATAACTTGAATCTTATTTCAAAACATTTTCCCTGTACCTCAGCAGATTCGCAATAAAGGGAATCCAATGTACATTGCAACAATGTCATAATGATGCAGTCAACCGAACATGTTGCTGTAATGCAATAATAACCCTTTGCAAACATTTTGATAGCTCACCTGGATTTTGGCATTTTCTTCTTTGTCAAGATACTGATCACTAAWCATGTGAACGGATCCAAGTACTGCTAGCTTTCCTCTTGAATACTGAAAGCAATAGAGATATAATAGATATAAAATACAGTGTACATTCATAGCCACATTCAATGCTCTGAGAGCAAGTGTGTATTATTGCTATGGTAGCAAATACACTGTTTGCTAGGTTCACTTCATATCTGCTACAGTAGCAAAGTGCGCACAGTGTGTACAGGTGTACTGGGAATTTGCTACTATTCAGTGCATATTTGCTACCGGAGAGCAAATACACACAGTGCTTATTTGCAGTTTGCCTAGGACTGTAATGAAAAGCTCACATTGCTTAAAAATTAACTGTTCACGGCTAACACAATGTTTTACCCAGTTCAAATCTAATGGGAATACTTTTCTTTGTCCATTATATTTACAGTGTACATATCAGTGAAGCGCTGATATGGATATGATATGTATGTAAATATAATAGACATATGTTCAATGAATAACTTGAAGTGCAGTTCTTCAGTGGTTTACAAGTATAATGTCATTCCACTAATATAATGTTTTATTGTTGTACATGTAAATCTTGAAGAACTGTTCTACTAATAACCAACCTTTGAAGAATGGAACCCACAGATAGGTCTGTTCAGAGGAAAAGATACACTGCCAGTAGACAATACAGCTACAGCAGGTTTGACAACATTCAGCGTTGCACCATAAGRGTAGACAAATGACACAGACCTAGAAACAGAATAATGGAATTTTTCAATAAGGATGGGATGCATAAACTTCATGTATTACCAGTATTTACAGGGATCAAKCTGCTATATAGCCATGACTTACTTTCCAAATTCAGATGAATCAGCGTCCGATGATCCTGGAACATATTTACCAGCAGCTCTATTTATTTCTCTGATCATTAAAACAAACAAACAAAGATACAACAAAATAAGCAAGCAATTCTAAAGGCAGGGTTTTTATCTTGTAGTTACAATTCTATAGTTTTTAGACACATATCTTCATAGTTTATATATTAGAGGGCCACAGGTTTGTTAGCATATTGCTATTTAGTGCTACCCTCAGTAAATAAAGAGTTTATTTATTTATTTATRGAATRTTGGGAGGAGGATTATGGCAAACAATGAGGTCAGAGTAAAGCAAGAAGAGAAAGAATGAAAAGAAGGGAAGGAAGAGAAAGGAAGAGAAATGAAAGAAAAAGGAATATAAAATCGTGACTAAACAAACCTGTTTAAAACTCCATTTGATACAAGTGCCTCTTTGGGATGGAAGTACTTGTAGTAGACGGTTCTTACAACTGAGTCTGAAAAAAAACAACAAGAACATTTATTTTCAAATTTTTTTAACCTATTCAGTTACRAATTAACATTTAAATTTGGTTTTGTTTGTAGTAGTCTACTAGAGTGAAAACCATACATCCATGAAATATAACTAACTAATCAGTACAAAATAGCACCAATAAAACAGATGTGTTTAGTGCTATTTATATGGAATTATGCTATTTAGCTTTTGTGCTATTTCGAGGATTTATAGACATACTGTACTGTATGTTATTTAGTTTTTGTGCTACACATATTTCATAGATATATGGTTTGCACTCTACTGTACCATGGAATACTGTAGTAGTTGATATAGTCATGCTCACCATTATTAACCATGATTCCATAATCTTCCAGTAAGAAATTAATATTTGTATCAAATCTCGTTTCTCCACCTTCTCCCATCAACACCAGCACATTGCCACCACCTTCAATGTACTGCTTGATTACATCAAACTGGGAAAATAAGAAAACAAAAAATAGGTGTATACACTTGAATTTAGAATTTTCTAAGATTACAGATTTCCAACCGACGGTGTTTTTTATTTCAGAAATGATAAATAACAAAAGGTCACAACGATCTTCCTACAATAAGAAATTGGTTTTAAATGACCTGTTAGTGTACCATCTTGTAGAAATATTAAAAAAAAAACAGGCCCTCTTCAAGCCTTCTACATAAGTTTTAGAAGAATCCTAAACATTTAGGTTCCTGCTTGGTATGTCGAAACATGGGGCTCACATCCTTGCTACCATATTTAAATTTAAAATGAATGAAAACCAAGACTTAAAAGAAAATTAAAAAATTATTACACAACATGCAGGAGGATGCTCACTAAGTGGCGAGTCTTTTAAAATATATGTTTATATACTAACCTCGACAGCTGTAAATTTTTTCCTTGGCCCTCCAAAGACAAGCACCTTAGCTGTTACAATTTTTTCAAGGGATAGTTCATCTTTATTGCTGTTAAAGAAGAAAGATGGAAAGTAATTAGAACAATGATGAAAATTATTATRTTGAAGACAATGAAAAATATTGCCAACAATATAAATGACAGACATTCATATAACGTGTAGTTTACACGTATCCAAAAAAAGCTTTAAAATTCATTTTCAGTGAATTCTGGTAAGGCSGCAGCACTGACAGCCACACAATTTATTACTGATGGTATTTGTACATTATTCCTCCAATTGTGGTAGGG